TTCTAACAAAGATTGAGGCATGTTCACACTCCAAATTCATATGGACAAGGGTATTGAGAATCTTTGTTAAGTATCACTATTGACCTCAACAAGAAAATTTTACTGTTTCACAGTTAGGAAAACAAACATTACACAGGATAGGGCAAAAGACACTTTATTGAAAAGACAATTGACTCTCTTCATTATAGCTTGAGCGAACCAACTGATATTTTTACCCAGGATAGAGGCATATCCACACTCCAAATCCATACTGACAAAGTTAGTGAGAACCTTTGTTAAGTATATGGTTTTTCTTCCTCTCTGTGGAACAGTAAAATTTTCTTGTTAAGGTCAATAGTGATACTTAACAAAGATTCTCAATACTCTTGTCCATATGGATTTGGAGTGTGAACGTACCTCAATCTTTGTTAAAAAAAATGAGCTCGTTTGGTTGAGCCGTAAAGGAGATATGAAAATTTTCCTAACTCTAAGGACTTTCCGGACACCCTATATGTTAGTTAATGTTTGAGATAGATCAAAATTTTATGACTCGACCTGTTCTAAGGTTAAAAACGTCGTTTTCTCAGTCAAGGTATAGGATATGAAGAAGGCTTGCCTTGAAAATCTCTAATCCGAACTGACTGATGCAGCTCGACAAGTTCGTTTGAGTTCGAAAATTTTGAACTCGATGGGCTCTACTGACTAACTGACGTAGTTTCTAATATCAAGTAATGTCTACATAAGAACGTTAGCTTGATAGGTTCGCCAATATATACGATTATCAATAAAATATCGAATAGAATACGTTAGCAAAAATCGATCACAACAGAATATTTTGAAGAATAGATTTTTTGTAAAAAATTTGTCTTATTAAATAATTTGAATAGTTAATATATATTTAATAAGAAATCCTTTTTATTTTAGTACAACAGCAGCTTATTATGCTGAAATTAAAAAACAAGAAAATGATAAGAATCCAAAAGCATGGAAATTATTAAGTGCAGACGAAAAAAAACCATATATACAAATGTTAAATGATGTAAATCATTTTGTAATTAATATATTTATAATAAATGAATGAATTTTGTAGGCTAAAAATGAATATTCTATTCAAACAAAAAATTTTGCTGAAAATTTACCTGAACGTCTTAAATTAGAATATTTATCATTTATTAATCAAACACGTCATGCTTCACATGTTAATGATAATAATGATGAAAATACAAATTCAGCATTAATACGTCAACGTCGTAAATCTATTCAATCATTACCTGAAAATTTTCAATTAACTATAAATGATAATCAACAAAAATTAACTCGAATACAACTTGATGAATTACATAAATGTAAACCTGATGTTCTTTATTATGAAAAAAAAATTTCTAATGATGAAAAACCAACATTTGTAAATTCAACAGCAAAAAATACTTATATACGATCATTATTTAATCAATTAAATGAAAAAAAAAGACATAAATTTATATTAAAATCAACTAAAAAATGGCAAGAATATCTTGAATTAAATTCAACAATAATTGAATATCAAATTCCAACACTTCATTTATTATTAGGAAAAAATGATGATATACATTATTATTTTTCTTCTCTTGACCTACCAATACGACCACCAGTAAGTGCACTTCATTTATATAATAATGAAAGACAACAAAAAGATTTACAACAATATTGGACTGATTTATCTCAAACAACAAAAGATGAATATATAAAACGTTTATCAAAACTTAAACATGAATATTATCAAAAATTTATTGAATTTATTGAAAAAATTTTACCATCAGATTATATACGACTTGAATTTTTTCGTAATATTAAATATGCAGCTAAAGATTATGATATAGCTATAAAAGATCGAGTTAATGAAAAAGATGATGGACAATTAAAAATTACTCAATATTTAGTACAAAAACAAAAATTAGAAACTAATGTTATCAATGAATTTGATCGAATAAAACGAGAATTATTATCAACTAATTTAACAAATGAACAAAAAAAACTTGTTGAACGACTTGGACAAATGATGAATAAATACATAGATGAAACAGTGAGTGATGATTTATTAAGAAAAATAACTTTTCTTGAGATCAACACTTTATTTTTGTCCATCTAATTGAATTTAATAACTGTTACAATAGACTTTTCCAAGTTAACTTTACCTGACGAGAGAAGTCATTCAACTGAAATCGAGACTATGTGTATTATGTAGAGTCAAATGAGCTCTGGATATCTATGAAAAAAGTTCGTGTCCTTAGCTGATTGCTACAGAGATACTCCACTTTTATGGTAGTTTTTAAACCAATGTTGTGATAACAGAAGAACTGATTTTCGAATTTCAACTTGAAACTTTGTATAGAAACAGATCTTCACAAGAATAGGTTTTCTTTGTCAATGTATTTCAGATCTTGTTGCTGTTCCTGTTATAAGATATAGCCATGGTAATAGTCTGTCTTTAACATCGCTTATATAAATCAGCAGATTCAATATTCTGATTTCAGGATAGAAGCAAAGCAAAAGACGAGAAACTTTTACAATAATAAGGTCTATTTCGGTGCAGAGTTTCAAGTCGAAATTCGAAAATCAATTTTTCTACTACCACGGTATTGATTTAAAACTACCGTAAAAGTTCAGTACTTCCATAGTAATAAGCTAAGGGCACGAACTCTTTTCAAAGCATTCATAACTATCTACATTATGCACATAGTCTCAATTCAAAAGCGATTTATCGGTTGGAAGACTTCTCTCGTGAGGTCAAGCAAGTTTTTTTGAGAAATTCAATTCAAAGATAATGTTAGTAATGCAACTACGGATGCTAAGCCCTCATTTACTGTCAAAGTTCTGATTACGTCACTAGCTAATTAAATTGTAAAACATAATATTACACTAAAGAATATAGTGATCTTTTCTAACAAATGAGTAGCATACTCAAAATTTGGATGGTTTTTTTTTTTGTAGGTTTCAGGTCTACAGATGTGTCAACAGGTTATTGAAAAGTATTTTGCTCAAATGTTGGTTCATTTTTTAACCTCTTAGAGGTGTCTGCCAAAATTTTAAAACATTAGATTAACATCAGAATATTGTATCCTTTTCGAAAGAGTAAAAGCGACAATCATTTCAAATACAACAAATAAAAAAGCAAATATTTTTCTATAAAATGATATACTAATAATTAGTTTTCTGTAAGTCATTTGTTACTAGTGTGTATAAACTTAATTTTCGTGCCTCTTAAAGTTCGACTCATTACCCCTAAACCAAAAATTGAACTTATATTCGAAAAGAATACAAAATTTGAATTTAAACTTCTGCCAACGCTCAACAAAAAAAAAATGAATGAACATTTTATCGAATTACTTCTCAATAACCTATTATAATACGATTGTTCTTAATGTTGAATCTATTTCTATATTTATTTTAGACTGCATCAAAGAGAAGTGCTTCCAAATCGAAAAGTTCAACAAGTAAGATTTTATCTTCTAATCTAAATTTGATATATTTCATAAATAAATTTTTTCAAGATGTTACAGAACCTAACAATGATCAAAATACTACTTCAAGTTCATCTAAACATCAATCGACTAATTCTGATGATGTTGTTATAATCAATGGTGACATTTCTTCAAGTGATAATATTGAACATCAAGAACAAGTTGTTCATAAAAAAAAAGAAAAAACATAAACGAAATAGAAGTGAAATAGAAGAAATACATACAACAAATGATAAGAATGATAAAGAAAAACAAACTTTATCATCTCCACCAACAAAAAAAAAGAAAATAATGTCAGATGCAGAAGAATAAACATTGTTTTCAAATTTGTTTTTGTTATTGATTCTTTGTTATCTTGTTTGCTTAAGAATCTTTTTTTTTTTATTCCATATTGGAAGAAGAGTAGTCTTCTCTTTTAATAAACCGATTTATTAATAGAGACTAGTTTAACGTCTCTTTTTGTTAAATGAATATTCTTAAATAAAACATCAAAGTATAAGAAATTATCTCAAAAGAAAATATCTAATATGTTTGTGTTTATCTATCGGATTTTTATTCAAAAAGCGATGACTTCTTTTAGAATCGACACGTGTCAAAATTTTGTAAGCTTTGAATTCATAAGCAATTCTAAAAGCTCAAGAACTTGTTGAAATTTAAGTAACAAATCAATCCTAGAGTACTAGGACAATTCATCGTAAGTGTATGGATGTGAATGCGAAACTTTTGTGTACTCTCATCGACATCCTAGCCCACGCACCCATAGGATATGAAAAACTTGAATTTAGAGTTTTCCAGAAACTCTATCATTTTGATCTTTGCAAATTCTTGTTGAATATAAAATTCTCTACACAAATCACTATTTGAATTCTTATTAACATTTATGGCAAAGGATCATCAAAAGTCGAAGAGACGTGCGCTATTGATATCATTCATGTAATTTATCGCTAGATTCAATGAAAGCAATTGTTTTCGACAACGAATAAAAACTTATTCTCTTTGCTTTAATGTAATCTTTATAGGCATGAGATTCGTGTAAAAAGAATGGATTTCTACAGAAGTTGAACTCTGTTTGGTTTACTATACTTAAAATCTCAGAGCAAATATAGTCCCAAAAAAAAAACATGCTTCGCTTTAGTGGCATAACCAGATGAAGGCTCAGTTCTAATATCAACGTTTGGCTTCGACTTAAAAAAATAGCTTGAGCTTCTTCTACAGACATGGTCAGAAGGCTGAGTGCTCTCCAACTTTTGTCTGGTTACTTCATTATTCCACCTTCGATCGAGTTGAATTACTCCTATTCTTCATTTGTTCTTGATTCATTTTTTTTTAAATGCTAAAAACTCAATGTCTGTCTATGAGAGACCTCTTTTGATCGGCAGATCTATCGGTTAAAATACATAATCCATGGATTGATGACGACGAGGCATTTTCGGATTGATTCTATTTTAAAATAAAAACTATCGGTTTTTCTTCTTTTTAACAAGGACTCACCGTTATTTGTTTTTTTATTTAAAGTATAGAATGGCATTTTGGCGTAGTACTTCGCTTTTTTCATCATCAACACCATCGACAACAACAATAAATGATAATACAATTAATCAAGAAACGGTGAGATATGATTAAAGCTGCTTTTATTTCCATCGATAATCGTAAGGCTTTGTCGCACTCTGCTTGCAGGGCTAAAGCATGATACATAAACATCAAATATCGTCCTTCTACTTTGACGAATTCTTCATATATTTACAGATCGAACGTCTCTGTGATCGTCTACAATTAGCTACACGTATTGAAGATCGACGAGATGCTTTACGTGATCTTAAAGGATATTCTAAAGTAAGTCAAAATTTCAAAATATGTAGTTTTTTTTTTAATATAATTTTAATTAAAAATCAATAGAAATGTAAACTTGAAGTTGGAACAAAGAGTATGATTTTATTAGCAGACATTTTACAAGGCGATCGAACTGACTTGGATCTTATTCAATTAGCATTAGAAACATTATCTAATATAATGACCTATGAAGTTGATAATAATGATGGTATAAAAACAATTAATTTTTTTCTTATTTAAAAGAAAAAATATGTCTTTTAGAACAACCAAATTTACCACAAGATATAACTATTCAATTTACAGGTAGAATTCTTTTGATGATATAATGGAAAAAAGAATGAATAAATAAATATTTATTTTAGAATTATTTATTAAGAATAAAGAACATGTTCATGCAGCTCTCGATCTTATTGAAGTAAACTTTTATTTATAAAAGTTATTACATGATTTCTTTTTATTTTCTCATGTTAGGAAACTGATTTTAATATTCGTCGTACATCTATAAAATTTCTTACTATACTTCTTACTAATTGTACTAAAACATTACAAGATATTATACTTGAAAGTGGACCTATGGGTGTTTCAAAATTAGTTGATCTTTTACAAGATGAACGTGAAGTTATTCGAAATGATGTAAAATTTTTATTTCTAATAGAAAAACTATTTTAATTTAATCTTCTATAGGCTCTTCTTCTACTTCAAATATTAACTCGTTCGAATGCAAATATTCAAAAAATAGTTGCATTTGAAAATGGTTTTGAACGTTTATTTGAAATTCTTATAAGTGAAGGTGGTAGTGATGGAGGTAAAAAAAATATAATCTGTTTTTTTTTTTTTCATTTTATTATTTATTCTAAATTTTTAGGTGTTATTGTTGAAGATTGTTTATCTGTTTTATTAAATTTATTAAAAAATAATCCATCAAATCAAAGTTATTTTCGTGAAAGTTCTTTTATTCGACGTTTAGTTGATTGTTTTGCATTAAATTCAATTGGTGAAAAACATTGGTTAAAACAAAAAGAAACTAATATTAATCTTTTTTTACAAGTAAAAATAATGAAAAGATTAGTTTAAAATAATCAATTCTTTCGATGTATTAAGGTAATTCGAATACTTGTCTCACCGACAAATTCAAATCAAAATATTGTTGCATGTCAACGTTCAATTAGTCAATGTGGTAAAAAAAAAATAGAATCGTAACACGACAGTTGAGCCTTCATCAATTAATTAAGCAAGACATAGATTTAATAAGAAAAAAAAATGCATGTTGACGTGTAACATCTTATAGTATTGATGAGTCGCTTGCGTCTACTTTCATAACTTTTGATAGGAGTATTATAGAGATCTGCAGTTTTCACCATCTATTCAAGAGAAAAGATCGGAGACCCTCCAACTATATCGAAAACAATATTCTGAAATTATTTCTCTTCCGATCTATGCAGGGTTGACATTCCTAGCTTGTTCCGTTAG